AATTAAGACCACTTAAAGCAATCATTTCTCTCTATTGATAAAAAACAACCTTGAAATAAATGAACCTTTACCCCTCCTCCAGAACCCAAATCATTTCTACAAACTCACCTCCTACATATGAGTACTGTCTGATGGTTAATCTCTAGATCTCTTTAGAGAAATCTGTCAGTACAGTAGGAACAACCTTAAAAGGAAGCTCAAAAAACTTACCTGAAAAAGAAAAAAAATTCTCTAAAGTTAGATATATTCTCTAAAGATACATTAATCAGGTATTTAAAAAACTCAATGCTTTCATGAGCTCCAAAGAAGCTCCAAGATCATGGAAAATATGTCTCTACTAGTTCTTGAAAGATGATAAAATAATAAATCTCAAGAATAATAATTTATAACTTAATTAAGAAATTAAGCCTGGGTGTAGTGGCTTAGGCCTATAATCCCAGCACTTTGGGAGACTAAGGCAGGATGATTTCTTGAGGCTAGGAGTTCAAAACCAACCTGGGCAACATAGTGAGACTCTGTCTCTACAAAAAAAGAAAAGGCAAAAAAAAAAAAAAAAAGCTTTGTAAAATTAGCTGAGGATGGTGGTGAGTGCCTGTTGTCTCAGCTGCTTAGGAGGCTGAGGCAGAAATATCATTTGAGCCCAAGAGGATGAGACTGCAGTGAGTCATGATTGTGCCTACTCCAGCCTGGGCAAAAGAGTGAGACCTTGTCTCTAAAAAAAAAAAAGAAAGAAAGAAAAGAAAGAAATTAGGTGAACAATTCAAACTTGTTGTTCCATCAACGTGTGTCAATGTGTCAGGTAATATCTAAAGTAAAATTTTAAAATGAATGTTGCACAGAAAATTTGAGAAAAATATAATTAAATGTATTTTAAATTTAAATTCTTCATTCAGATCGTAGTTATTACAATTTAAGTAATTTAAGTTATATGTGGAAGGTTCTCCCATGTCATGCTCCTTCACATAAAGCCTCTTTCATCTTCCTTTCTCCCAATATTTTCTTCCTAATACAAGAGTTTGAGATCCCAATTTGAATGTATCCAGGTATTTCTCATGGTTCGTTGGTACTCAGATAAATTTCTGGCATAGCAGGCACTCAATAAATGTTCATTACTGTTGTTAAGACAAGGGGAAAAGTCAGGGGAGGAAAGGTTTGCTGCAAATCAGACATCGAGATGTAATCCGTTCCCTCTCTCTAATTCTAGAAGTAAGTTTTGCTTGAGTCCCTGCTTTTGCTTCTGTCGGGGCATTCAAACCATGTTTAACTTAGGATGGGAGTTCTCTCATGTCCCCAGTATCCCCTACTTACCTAGGACTACAATGCAACCTGCTTCATGTCTTAGAGGGATTCCATAAGCTTTAAACCTATAGGACCTGGACATAAATTGGGATCACTCTGGACCCAATGGCCATTCACAGACATCACAGAACAATTGAGAGGATTCTGCCCTACCTGTCTTCCTTCTATTCTCAGCTCAGCCTGACAGAGTATAACCATGACATGTAGGGCAGATGAATTTTAGCAATAAAAGCTGATTCTAGGGGATGATGTATAAAGTATGTAAATCCGTCAAAATCATATTAGATTTTTAAAACCTTGTTAACTCTGTGGTGAATGACCTCCTCAGCATCAAAACAGAGGCACTTTTGTTTCTCAGAAAGTTGGCCATAAATGCATCCTAAGTCATAGTGGAATAAGCATGTGATTATCTGAGGTAAGCATTCCAGGGAGGAGTACAAGGACAGAGGCAGTTGTGTCTATATGGCTTGCTTGAAAAACAAGGAAGCCAGTGTGGCTGGAATGGAGTAGACAAGGGAAAAATAAAAATAGACGAAGTCAGACAAGAGTGGAAGAAGAAAATGAAAGATCACGTAGGCTCTCTTAGGTTAGTGCAAGGACTTTTTCTTTGAGTGAGACAGGAGGCTCTTGGATTTAGCTTATAGTTTAACTGGATCATGGTTGCTGCCACTGAAATGAGAAAAGTACCCTTGTCCCCCTCGCAGGGCATGTGATGGGGAGTGGCTCACTTCTTCAGGGCCCCACTGCTCAAACCTCAAGAGGAGCATACAGATGGGCAGGTTATAGGGCTCCGACACCACGGCAGTGTCTGGGGTGGATGTTTACAGCTCCTGAAGCCCCAGTGGGTGTGTGCTACCGTGTGCTCTTTTAGTTTTGCCTTCTATAGGTGGCCTGTGTTAACCAGCTCAATTAGACCCCTCTGCCTTTACAGAGGGCTTTCGGTATCCTGGGTTCTTGCCTTGATGTACTGGAAGAATTGGATCACACACGTGGGCTTGGAGAATGAGTGCATGGTTTTATTGAGTGAAAGTAGCTCTCAGCAGATGGGTAAGCCGGAAGAGAGATGGTTTTCCCCTGGAGTTGAGCCACTCAGTGTCACTCCAACTGCCCCAGCCAAACTCTGCATCATTCTGCCGGCCCATGACCTGCTGGCAAACAGCCAACATCCTCTTGACATCCAGCAGCTGTGTCTTCTTCCATCGATGTGTTTCTCTCAACATCCAGCCGCTTGTGTGTCTGCCTGCTAGGATCTCAGGGTTTTTATAGGCACAGGATGGGGGCATGGCAGACCAGCATGGTTTTGGGAAATGCAACATTTGGGCACAAAGCCAGGAGTGCCTGTCCTCACCTAGGTCTGTGGGCACAGGCTGGGGACGGAGCTCTAGCCATGGACCTGCCCTTTTCCTCCTGGCACTTCCCTGTCTCCCTTCTGTATCATCATGGTGCAAATATACTGAAGGGGGCAGAGGGCAAAGGTGGGTGATCAATTTGAAAGCTACTGCAATAATCTAGGTGGGAGATAACGGTGGCTTATATCACGGTGGTAACAGTGGATGTCGAAAAAAAGTGTCCAATTCAGGATATGTTTTGAAGGTAAAGCCAAGAGGATTGCTAACGACTTAGACTTGGGGAAAAAGAAAAAGAAGTCCCGAATTTCTCCCAAGACTTTTGGCTAGATCAATTGGAGGAATGGAGATGCCATTTAAAAGGAAAGAAGAACAGATTATGGGACAATTCAAGAATATTAGAAATTCTATTTTGGACATGGTAAATGGGAGGCACATATTAGATGGCAAGGTTTTCTAATCTACAGTCCTCATTTTCCCTGCTTGGACTAAAACCGTATTCTGAATCTTAGCCCTGACCTAGGCCTGATCTAGCAGGCTAGATCCCTGACTCCCAATCTACACTTACTGGCTAAGGTCCTACTGCACACACAAAAAGATCACCTGGAACCAAGATGATGCCAACAACCAGATTCACAGTACTATTGCCAGAACCCAGAAAATCCTGTTGCAACATCTGATCCACCAGACATGATTCCCTTCAACACTAATTTTGTTTTTATTTTTTTATTTTTACAGGGACAGACTCTCGTTTTGTTGCCCAGGCTGGACTTGAACTCCCAGGCTCAAGCGATCCTCCTGCTTTGGCCTCCCAAAGTGCCAGGATTACAGGTGTGAGCCTCTTTTCATGGACTATGACAATTCCCTGTAGACCAGATTATTTCCATTGCAGCTGTACCATGGGGTTAGTTATTATAAACAAATTCCTCCCGATTCTAGCTTTCTCCCTTCTCACTAGTAGGTCTCACTGCTGTGTATGTTTCATATTTGACCTTCTGCAAATCAGGAATGAGTTTAATCATGTTGAGGGAAAACATAATAACCTATTATTAACTCTAAACCATCCTTCTGTCGCTTTATGTGCTTTGTTTATATAGATGCTTTTTAAAGGTGAAGTGAAAGAGAAAAAAGATAAATTGTCAAGTGGTTTTACTAGTCATATTTCTTTCCGGTAGACGGTGTGATCCCTCAGACTTTGTGTGACAAGGCAATTTGCTGCAAAAACTGTCCTGTCAAATAATTCTAAAATGTGTCTATTAGTCCTGGAACACCTCTAAAACCTTTCTAAGAATTGCCAAAACCCTTTCATGCTCTTAATTCCAAACCTGGGGCTCCAACGTTTGAAAACAAAATGGCACATACAAAAGCACTTTCAAAGCATATTACATACATAGTAATAAGAATCCCAAATTTCTGATGTATATAACGCAGTGTTATATACACTTTTATATACGGAGGAGAGAGAATCACGAACAGAAAGGCACCCCAAACCCTAATGCAAAGATCAATAAAAAGCCAGCCAGCAGCACATCAGGCTGCTGTATTGGCTGCCCTCAAAGTCATTGGGTCTCTTCATTAATTTTTGTATCATATGTATTCGAGAATTGTCCCGTTTAGTTACTCAACAACTTGGGAAATAGCTCAAGAGGCCATGAGTCACCCTTTCTTTGCTATTTGCTGCTGATGCTTTAGAAAACCTAGTTTTTGGGTTTTTTTTACATATGAATATTTTTGTTATTCATTTATTATGATATCTCTATCTCCCATTCCAGCACTGATCGGCCTTAGGCAGAAATAAGGTCATATTATGAAACGTCCACGAAACAATTTTGTACCATCTGTGCAAAACTGTTTTGGTAAGAAATCTCTAAAATTTAATGACATTTCCTGCAGCTACAGAGAAGGCTGAAATACAAACAGTCCCTTTCCCGAAAACGAGGTGCTATTTCAATCACATTTCTCACCAGCACTTGTCTTTTTTGCAAAGGTGTTTGTTCTAGTGATATGGACGTATGACGAACGTCAACGGTTAAGAAGATAACCAGAAACTGTGAAAATCAAACGTGCCTGGAACGCATCAGTTTCACACTTTTAGTCCTTCGCTTGAGACTCAAGGGCCACACGGCCAGGTAGGTCTTTCACCTCTGGAAAGCGTTAAACATCCTTCCAGTAAGAAATAATCGTTAAGGGCAAGGTGTTAAAGAAATCCAGAGAGCTGTTCCCCGTGGGTCACCGCCTCCCTCCACTTGCCTCCACCCTCCTCCCGCGCACTGAACGCAAAAAGCTTAGACAGGAACGAGCGAGGCCAGAAGAGACTACAACTCCCAGCAGGCGTCGCGGCAGTCGGAGGTCACGCACGGGCAACCCAGGCCCCAGGACTAAAGTCTCGCCGCCGGCCTTGTGGGAGGCGAGAATGGCGGCGTCCGGGCTGCGGCTGCGAGCGGAAAAGCTCTTTGAAATGCTTGCGGTGCTGGGGCGACTGAGCCGCTGTCAGAGCACGTCCCAGGCCTTTGCTGAGGTGCTGCGGCTGCCGAAGCAGCGGCTGAGGAAGCTGCTGTACCCGCTGCAGGAAGTCGAGCGGTACCTCGCCCCCGATTCGAGGAAAGACCTTCACCTGCGGATCTTTAACCCGAGCCCGGAGGACATCGCGAGGGCGGAGAGCGTCTTCACGGCCACTGAGCATAACCGCATCGACTACGTCAGCTCCGCCGTCCGTATCGACCACGCCCCGGACCTCCTCCGGCCGGAGGTGAGAGCCGCGATTCTCACGTTTTGCCTGCGCTTCGGCGTCCCAGCGCTAACCGCTGCCTCAGCCATGGGGCTGGCGGGTGATTTTGCTGTTGTATTTTCTAGCTTTGTGTGGGCGCATATATTATTTTAACTAAATAGGGATATGCCGATGCTCCATGTACGTGGGGATACCCGAGAAACCCATCGTAAGCAGAAAATGCAGTCAGTACCCCATAAGCCCATCGTAAAGTCAAACGTCGTTAAGTCGACCCACTGCCTGGATATCGTTTACATTATTTGGGAATGAATATAGAAGACTTAATGCTTTAAAAGATTTTGAGACTCAAAACTAAGCATTCAAAATAGTAACTTGTCTTTTTGTTTGTTTGTTTGTTTGTTTCCTAAATAAGTAGGGAAAACATGCCAGACAAATCAGACAGAATTTAGACAGTGAACAATAGGAAACGAATAAGTTTCACAAATGAGATGATCCTTATCAATAATTAACTTTCCCCTAAACTTCCTATAATGTGCAAAAATAGTAATTATCTCTAGATGGCAATAATGTGGAAAGTTTTTAATAGCAACTTTTATTAGTGAAATTTCGTAAGCATTTTTTCATGTCTTACGATTCAACGATATTCTAAGTCTGCTAAAAGGCAGCTGAACTCTCCATATGTATTTACAGTAACTGCACCGTTGCCCAGAGATTTTTCTTCTAAATATATGTAGAACTATAGTCAGGATTCAGAGTACCTAAATTATTTAATGATTTTTGAGACAGCCATTGCTTTATAATTTAAGCTTCTCAATTACTGGATTTTTTGCAATTTGTTTTTAAAATTCAGTTTTATCAACATATTAGTATGTTTCCTCTGGCAGAGCATTTAAAATTTTGCAGGACTCAGATCAATTAATTTTGAATGTGAATTTTGCAGGATAGGACCCCTGGCCCCTACCTACTAAATGTCCCCCAGTTGTCTTCATAACCAAAAATGCCCTTAAAATCTCCAAAAATGTCCCCCGAGGACCAGTACTGTCCTCATTTAGAACAATTGATTGGTATTGTACCCCTCACCTCCAATACCATGTTCAAAAGCAGAGGAGAAAAGCTTAATTGGAACAGGAGTGGTCAAGGGAAAAGAGTAAGTTTTTAAATTGCGGTGGTGTTACAGTATACAATGGGAGTGCCTGAGAAAATGTGCTTCCAAACATGTAGTAGTACTTTTTCATCAGTTTTGTTGAACTACATCTAGTTTTTACTCCAAAAAGCTTTGTAAATAAGAAATGCTTAATAAAAGTTGTATGTATTATTGAGTAGCGTAGTGAAACTAAAAGCACAGATTCTAGATATACATGTCCTGAGTTCAATTCCCAATTGATTTACTTTCTGTCTGTATAATTTTGGGTTAGTTGTGTTCTCTCGTCCGTAAAATGGGGATAATATCACCTACCTCCTAGGATGCTGTAAAAAAATAAATAAGAAAATATATGCTGAATGCTTAAAATAGTACCTGGCACATTGAATTCATTCAATAAATATTAGCTATGTTACAATTTGAGGGTTTTTTGCAGCTAATGCAGAATATCATATACAGCTAGTACTTACCTTCTTTTTTCTTGTTATAGGTGTGTTTTATAGGCAGAAGCAATGTTGGAAAATCCTCCCTAATCAAGGCTTTATTTTCACTGGCCCCTGACGTTGAAGTCAGAATCTCCAAAACACCAGTATGTTGAAATTTTTAAATATGTTTGGACTATCTCTTGGGTTAACTGGCATGAATAATAAATGTTGGAAGGTATAAGAAATAATTGCTAAGTTCCTAGAGAAGTTATTTCTTTCAAAAAAGTAATAAAGTAAGATATTCTAATGCCTTCATAGTTCTCTGAAGAAAAGGAAGTGTAGCTGGATTTATTTGAGTAGTCTTGACAGTATCTTCAGGAAATATTTCTTTATCCAAATTTTGCAAAGAGTTGCCAAATAAAGTGTCTTATTGTCATTCTATATTTCCTTCTATAAGAGTGATCATCTAGTTCTACACTGATTTTAGGGGAAACAGCTTTTAGGTTGTTTTGCATTTTTCCTCCTATCAGCTTTTCTAAGGTATAATGTACATGAATTAGTTACACACACACATTGGGCATGTTCTTACATGCTTATTATCCTAGCCAGTCTGCTGTAATAGCTGTCATTTTCCTCTACTTTCTTCTCAACAACATGGTCTCTACCAATATCTACGATACCCTTTCTTCAAAATCACGCCCACTTTCTCTCACCTTCTCTGGCCATGGTAAACCTTTCCACCAACCCTAATGTTCACTATACCTGCGCGCGTGCATGCAAGTGCATGCATGCAAGTACGTGCACACGCACACACATACACGCACACTTTTCATTGAGTTGGAACCGTTCTATGAGACTTCACTGGGTCTTTTCTTGCTCCCCACTTCATATAATGATTTTCTGGCTCCATTGCTAATGATTCTTTCCATTCCTTAACCCTCCCATCCTTACTCCTGCCCTGCCTCATAAAATAAATCAGCTAAATTATCACTTCTAGGTAGAGTGATCTCCTTCCTTTTGTGAGAGAACAATGGAGGAAATGTATTTTTGACATTCCCAATCTGTAATTCTAAAATCATTTTCCTATAGACAAATAAACTAGGAACTTAAAATCACCATTTATAAAAATCTTTCGTTTGATAAGGAATGATCTTTATAAGATCCAAACAATTGACTTAACTTTTAAAATTGCCTATAGAATCTTTTCTGATTAATAAATGTCCTATGGACACAAAACTACAAATAAACTACTTTTCACCATCTTTACATGAATTTTAGTTGCACAATTATGTTGTACATGCAATAAATGTTTAATGAAAGCACTAAAATCCACCTAATAAAACATGCAAAATATCTTGATTTTAGGGAAGCAATAGTCTAGGTATAAGACATGGTGATACTTTGGATCTAGGTTATATGAAAACATGTATGACTAATGGTAAGCTTTTTAACTTATCCTTGCCATAATTAGTTTCTCTTTAAAGTGGAGATACATTGTTCATCAGAGAATATTGATTGATGCAGTCACAATTTAGAATAGGGTGAATTTTTCACTAAGGGTTAATGAAATAGGAAAGACTCCAAAATATTTTGCCTACATATTTCTAATAAGGAATCTAAAGTTCTAAGTCATACAGATTCTTTTTGTAAAATGAAGGAAAAAGGAGTATGTTCTAAACTTATCTCCAGCCATTTCTCTTCTGTCTTGTCATCATCAGCATAGTTAAGGTTATATACTTGGATTTTAATAAATATTTATTGATTGAGTGGAAAAGATTTTGAATCATTAAGTAGATGGAAGACATATTTTAAGACAGCTTTTCTTTTTCCATTTACTTAATCAGGGACACACGAAGAAAATGAATTTTTTCAAAGTTGGAAAACATTTTACAGTGGTGGACATGCCAGGGTATGGCTATAGAGCACCTGAAGATTTTGCTGACATGGTAGAGACCTACCTAAAAGAACGAAGCAAGTAAGGAAAATATTTTCTTATAATAATAGGTATACATTTAACCCCAAGGCATGTTTTCATCAGTAGAGTAATACACACATGGTCAACACTTCAGTTTTATCAAATGACTTATTTTATGAGGTCCATTTTATTCTCATAATATTATACAGTATTTAGGACCAAGGTATGTACTGCTTGCTTGTTCTCTGTCTGTAGTTTAGCTGACCCTTAATATTAAATTTAAGTGTTTTCTCAAATTGAGATTGAAACTAAAGAGTAATTCAGCATAGTTTTTTTTTTTTTTTGAGACCAGACACCCAGGCCAGAGTGCAGTGACGCAATCTCGGGTCACTGCAACCTCCATCTCCCAGGTTGAAGTGATTCTTCTGCCTCAGTCACCCGAGTAGCTGGGACTACAGGTATGCGCCACTGTGCCCGGCTCATTTTTGTATTTTTAGTAGAGACAGGGTTTCACCATGTCGGCTTGGCTGGTCTTGAACTCCTGACCTCAGGTGATCTGCCGCCTCAGCCTCCCAAAGTGTGGGATTACAGGCATGAGCTACTACACCCCAGCCCATTAGCTTTTTTTAAAACCAAACTCTTAGTTGGCTAATTTTGAAGAAGAAAATTATTGGTTAAAACCAGCAAATTCTGATCATTTTAAAAATACTTCAGACATCACAGCTGCTGCAAATGTTACCTCTTTTTTGTCTCCTTATATAGTCAAGTGATAGTTCTGTTTCAATAATTGCACAATATATAGAAAATTGATGTTAATCTTTTAAAATGTAAAAAAAAAAGTTTGTAAGTATCTTTGTTGTAACTTTACATGGAGGGTAAAATCAAATATTTACATAGGAAAATGCAAAATATAATGTGTCTGGCTTCTGTTATCTGTTAGTCTTACAGTAATATTAAAAAGTTTCTGGCCGGGCGCGGTGGCTCAAGCCTGTAATCCCAGCACTTTGGGAGGCCGAGGCGGGTGGATCACGAGGTCAAGAGATCAAGACCATCCTGGTCAACATGGTGAAACCCCATCTCTACTAAAAATACAAAACATTAGCTGGGCATGGTGGCGCATGCCTGTAATCCCAGCTTCTCAGGAGGCTGAGGCAGGAGAATTGCCTGAACCCAGGAGGTGGAGGTTGCAGTAAGCCGAGATCGCGCCATTGCACTTCAGCCTGGGTAACAAGAGCGAAACTCCATCTCAAAAAAAAAAAAAAAAAATTCTATACAGGCCAGGCACGGTGGCTCACGCCTGTAATCCCATCACTGTGGGAGGCCGAGGCGAGTAGATTACTTGAGGTCAGAAGTTCGAGACCAGCCTGGCAACATGGCAAAACACTGCATCTACTAAAATTAAAAAATAACAAAAAAAAAATTAGCCAGGCATGGTGGTGCATGCCTTTAAGCCTAGCTGCTTGGGAGACTGAGGTAGAAGAATCACTTGAACCCAGGAGGCAGAGGTTACTGAGCCAAGATCATGCCATTGCATTCGTCTGGGTGATAGAATGAGACTGTGTCTTAAAAAAAAAAAAGTTTCTATAACTTATGGTTAATTTGATTTTTATAATTTATAATCTGTAATTTATGGTTAATTTGTGTCTTTTACTTCTCCTCAAGTTTAAGGTTTTTAGAGGCGGGAACTCACTTATTAATCTATCAAGCCCCAGGCAGAATGTCTTATGTCCAGTATATCCTTATTGAATTAAATTAATATTTAGTGAATTTAGTTATTGACAGTAAATAGAATTGAGACCTACTGGACTGCAGGATAAACTTCTGGCAAATTGATCATTCCTTTTGCCTAAAGAAATTTTTTAGTTTTGGGTTGAGAATTATTCAAAGGAAAATTTCTTAGTATAGTAAGGAAGAGGGGATAAACAGGTATATTTTATATTGCCATTAATCTTCATTTCTACCTTATTATAGCTTGAAGAGAACATTTTTATTAGTGGATAGTGTTGTTGGAATTCAAAAAACAGACAATATTGCCATTGAAATGTGTGAAGAATTTGCATTACCTTATGTGGTAAGTACTTCCTTTGAATCATGGTTGCAATTTAGGTATCAGTTCTATGTGCATCTGTGCATACATGTACCTTTTAACAATTGAGCTTGTATTGCCTCCTCAAAAGATAAAGGAGGGTGTCTTTTGAATAATCTTCAGTTAATCATACATTAATATTAATTAAAGTAAGTTCTATGGCACTTTTATTCTCTTTTCCATCTCTCAGCTGTATGTTTTGAAAATTATAGTCAAAGTAAAGGTTGCTTTAATCTGTTCATTTAATGTTCCTATGTAGTTTTCATATTTTTTTCTTTTTATAGCAACATAAATATTTGTTCAGAACAAGTCAGTAGCTCTTTAATAGCAGCTTGGCAGATAGTACTTATAAGAATGTGAATAAAACTGCAACTTAAAAAGTTGCTTGATTTAAAATTTTAAAATTGTTCCAAGAATATAGCAGCCTCCAATACACACAAGTAGGATTTTTATATTTTTAAATCAAACAAAATTTCTTCTGGGAATTTCTTAGCAGTACTGTTTGTCTTTTGACCTAGAATAGAATACAGAATTGTAGGTTGGTATCCACATTAATTTTGCTTTGTGAGACTTCCAGATAAAACAGCACTCTTAAAGTTTCTTTCCAAAGAAAAGTGAAGAACCCAGTAACTATAATTTTGGTTCAAAATCATGTCAGAAAGCCACTAGTATGTAACAGTGGAGTTTAATACAAATCACATCATATTACTACTAGTTAACCACTTTTATTTTATTCTTGAGGTCATGGAATTCTTGGGGTTTGCAAAAGTCCTATGAAGCATCAGAGATAATTTATAGTTATGAGGAGTCAAAGGACTGATAGTCTACTTAGTAAAAATGCCTAAATATTGCCAAACTAAGTAATAGTATTCCTTATTTGGTATCACAGATACCAGTTTATGAAATCATATATTTTCCTCAATTTTAACTTTAAGGAAATATTACTTTCTTTGTTGGAAAAGGAACTGGAATAGAGAAATTTTATCTGTATCTCCTTTTAAATATCAGTACATTTGCCTTTATAAGGAAAGACTCCCATTTGTGGAGGGATTCACAGGTAATTAGAAACCACACCCTTTCTGCTTCTCATTATGGGAAAAACACTGGAACCATGTTTTTCCTTTGTTCTCATACCACAACAGTTAACACAGAAGACTTCTGTGGCCCAATGTGTTGGGGGTTTTCCCCACCAACAAGCAGAGGACACCGGCTGGGTATCTGAAAATTTGATTCTCATACTGTCTACCTAGAGATAGCATCAGATCCTACATATTAAGGATTCTATTACGGATTCAGTCCCCAAGACTGCCCCTCTCACCCAGCTTCAGACACTAGTCACAATTTTGTGCCTCTAGAATATCGAAACTAGCTTCAAGTCAGGGTTCCCACTACCCCCTTTTTGGGTTTATTTGCTGGAGTGGGTCACAGAACTCAGAGAAACATGTTTACTGATGGTATTATAAAGTATGTTACAAAGAATACAATGAAGATGCACAGAACCTGTGTGTCCTCTTTGGGCATGCCACCCTCTTGAAACCTCCCTGTGTTCAGCTATTTCAAAGCTCTCCAAACCGAGTCTTCCTGAGCTTTTATGGAAGATTCATGACATCAGCATCCCTTCCCCCCGGTATGGGGTGGGACCCTCTCTGCAATGAGGGTCATATGACCCACATCAGAAAGGTGAGGGAAGATCACAAGTCTTGTCTTAGGGCAGGTGAATGAAAGGCAGGAGGTCAGATTTTGTTTCCCGATGCCTAACACATCCAACGTTATAACAAAAGATCATAACAAGGGCTATGGGAGTTATGAGAAAGGAACCATGGACATAAACCAATATATGTATCATGACACTACACACTCCTGCCATTAGCATCTTTTATGACTAAAACGCATAAATGATTTTCCAGGAAATTTAATCATACAGAATCTCACCAGAAATACCTGGTGGATTAAGGTTTTATATTTAATTGATTTTTGTAATCAACCATACTTTGACCTTTCTGCACTATGTACTTGTCTTTGGACAAGTAAAATTCTGGACTGACTTGGAATATAACTAGTAGCTGCAACCTACAAATACACTGATTTCTGATTTTTTCTTTAGAGTATAGGTCAAAAACTGATTACAAATGGGCAATTTTATATAAAGCCAATATTCATTTATATATCCTAAGCTATCAGGTATATTGTGATCATCTAAACATTTATCACAATTGCAAATATGACCCTTCTCATTGATCTTTCCAAGATATTATGGCCCTGTGTGGTTAAAGCACTATAAGCAGCAAACACATACTGTATACTTGATGTGTTTCAGACATTTGCTTATTTAATCTTCACAGTTCCTCCTTTATGGATTTTTGTTATTTTTTAGATGAGGAAATAGGTACAAAGAGATAAAAAATTTACACGGATAACCTAGTTGTAAATGAAATATTGTAGCTAAAATGTGTAAAATTATTAACAACCACTTTCCTAATGCTTAAAAATTTGTTTTCTTATAGATTGTATTAACAAAAATTGACAAATCTTCCAAGGGACATCTTTTAAAACAAGTGCTTGAGATTCAGAAATTTGTTAACACGAAAACTCAAGGATGTTTTCCTCAGTTGTTTGCTGTAAGGTAAGAATGGAATTGTTTTGTTTTCTGGTTTTTAAGGAAGTAATATAAATGAGAATGTTGTTGGTTTTAAATTTTTTGTTTTATTTCAGTAGTTTTTGAGGAACAGGTGGTTTTTGGTTGCATGGAAACATACTTCAGTGGTTATTTCTGAGATTTTAGTGCACCCATCACCTGAGCAGTGTACACTGTACCCTATGTGAAGTCTTTTATCGCTTACCCCTCCCACCTTTCTCTTGGGTCTCCAAAGTCCATTTTATCATTCTTACACCTTTGTGTCCTCATAGCTTAGCTCCCACTTATAAGTGAGAACATACAGTAGTTTGTTTTTCATTCCTGAGTTACTTCACTTAGAATAATGGTCTTCACCTCCATCCAGGTTGCTTCAAATGCCATTATTTTGTTCCATTTTATGGCTGAGTAGTAGTCCACGAAACATTATACCACATTTTCTTTATCCACTTGTTGGTTGAATTGTTTTTATAACTTTATGTACTGAAAACCTGTAATATTATATCAGTGTTTCTTAAATTAAGGTGTCACTTAAAACTAAAGGTATTTGAATGCCAGCCACAGTGGCTCATGCCTGTAATCCCAGCACTTTTGGGAGACTAAGGCAGGTAGATCACCTGAGGTCAGGAGTCTGAGACCAGCCTGGTCAACATGGTGAAACCCTAGCTCTAGAAAAATTTAAAAATATATATATATATAAAATATATATATAATATATATATTTTTTAAATTTATATTTTAATATATATATTTTAATATATATAGTATATATATAATTATATAATATATATATAATTATATATATATATGCATGCCAGGTGTGGTGGCAGACGCCTGTAATCTCAGCTGTTCGAGAGGCTGAGGCAGGAAAATCACTTGAACCCGGAAGGCGGAGGTTGCAGTAAGCCAAAGATCGCACCATTGCACTCCAGCCTGGGTGACAGAGAAAGACTCCATCTCAAAAACAGCAAAAACAAAAAAACTGTAGTATATCCATACCTGAGAAACATTTTGACTGATCTCCATACTGATGGATGGTTGGATATAGAAAGACAGGTAGATAAATAATATATACAATCATATAAAAATAATATATAAAATAATAGTAAATTTTTTGAAAAGTCTAACAAGGTAATTGAATTTTTGTTACAAAAAGAACAAACTAGAATATTAAAAAAATAAAAATAAAAAACCCAGGCAGAATGAAAAAAAAAAAAAAAACAAACTAAAAAAATCAAGACTTATTCTGGAAAACAAAGCAAGATGGAAGGTATACTGAAATTTTTGGAATCATGAAGGAAATGGATGAGATAACATTGATCATCAGATCTTAGACTACTACACGAAGCGGCTGGGGGAAGAGAAGAAAGCTAGAACAGATTAAAAGATGTTCTGCTTTCATGCATGAAATCACAAGAATTTATAAATTTTTTAATTGATGAATTCAGATTTTATCTCTGAGGAAAGGAAGAAAATTATTTTTTCTTTTCACAGTGCTGTGACCTTTTCTGGAATCCATTTACTCAGATGCTTTATAGCAAATATAACAGGAAATCTTGACTTGACTAATTAATGGCTCCCAGTTTAGCTGAAGATTCAAAAAAAAAAGAAAAAGAAAAAGCTTTCTGCTAACTGGAGTTAAATACCTAGAAGAATTTCAACATTAATTTAAATGTGCATCTGTAACTTCCAGGAAGATCATTTCAGCTTTAAAATCTGCAACTTTGAGAAGTCAAAACAAGAATTAGTGCCTCGGGGAAAAAAAGGTTTATAAGTAATTGAATTATGGTGTCCATTGGAACAGATGCCCTATTTTCACAAACTGACAAGAGCATACAGAAGTCTATAAAATGAAAACCTGTTACAACTATGTAGAGAAGGGTTTGCTGTTTTATTGCGCTTTTGTCTTTTAAAGAAAATGTCTACTATGTGTATTTTTTAAAAAACATTAAAATAGGCTAAAAGGAGGCTGCTTTTCTGTTAAGCATCAGTAGGTAAGTTGATGAAATGTTCCTATGTAAGCCTATGTGAGTCCCTATTTGAATATTGAAAACACTCTTGATAAAGTGTTAGTCCATGTTGGAAACAACCAAAAGAACAGAATTCAGGTTCCAGTTCTGATGTTTATTATGTATGTTGGATCTTGGGCAACTTACGTGATTTCTCTGAAATTCATTTGTTACTCTAACCTTGAAAGCTATTAAGATTAAAATGAGCCGGGCGCGGTGGCTCAAGCCTGTAATCCCAGCACTTTGGGAGGCTGAGGCGGGTGGATCACGAGGTCAAGAGATCGAGACCATCCTGGTCAACATGGTGAAACCTCGTCTCTAGTAAAGGTGCAAAAATTAGCTGGGCATGGTGGCGCGTGCCTGTAATCCCAGCTACTCCGGAGGCTGAGGCAGGAGAATTGCCTGAACCCAGCGGGCGGAGGTTGCGGTGAGCCGAGATCGCGCCATTGCACTCCAGCCTGGGTAACAAGAGCGAAACTCTGTCTCAAAAAAAAAAAAAAAAAAAAAAAAGATTAAAATGAATGGTTTTACAAAAGGTAGCATGTGAGAAGACAGCTACACATTTGTAAAGCTAAACCAACAAAGAAATACAGCAAAATTCACAGCTAGATTTATCACATGAAATGTCCTTTCATAAGGCAAGTAACATTTTCACTAGTGAAAAATCAAAAAACAAAAATAGCTTTAGGTAAGAAAACTAATTTGCAAAGGGCAAGAGAAAAAAGCTGACAGGACAGTTTAGACTGCTACATTTAAGGTTCAGAATGGAAAGTTAAAGCCTTTCAAATAAAGTTAATAGAAAAGATTTTTTTTGCAGGTGCCACTGACCTATTCATATAAGTGGCTTAGTTTTTCAAAGTGAAGCTGAATAGTAAGAGATTATAGCTGTAGTGCTGGATAAAAAATTAAAGCTATAAACCAATTTTGTGGCTTTCAGAAAACTCAATCTGAACATATTGTCAGTTGTTTCATAGTTCATGGAATTGGTCTAATTCATGAACTAGCGGTATTTTCAGCCAAAATGATTTTTTAATATAGGCATTCATAAAATACATAAGTGACAAGAATTTTCTTACAAGTCATCTAATTGTCTGCCAGTGTTACTGTACTGCTTTGTCTTATTCTTGGTTCTATAAGCAGAGCCTGAGCCAAAAGCATAAATATATAAATTTGGAAAGTGATCCCAGGGAACAGTGGCAAAATGAAACAAGACAGACAAGCCTATTAATGACATATTCATTGAGTCAGCCAAAACAGACACTAGTGCTAGATCTTGAGGGAACATCTGAGAAGTCTTAGGAAATATGTGTTCTACATACACATAAAGGGAGCAGGTTCTGTGCAGCCTACCCTCAAAGGCTGAGGGTGCTGAGATGCCAAAGAGGCTGCCAAATCCAGTTTGTCAGAAACATTTAATAGGGACTTCTGCACAGAAGCTGTGTCTCAGGCAGTGATGAGACAGTGGATCCCCGCAGTTACCTGCAGACCCAAGGCTTATATGCCATAGAGAAAAGGGCATACATGCTTCAGAAGGAACACGTAAGACACTGAAGTCAACCCTCAGGGAAAGGCAAGAATGCTGTGTGCAGCATAGCATATAATTTGCTTAAGGCCAGGATTTACAGTGAGTATGTATTATTTTAATAGTAGATAAATGTAGAAATCTTAGAGGCATTCCTAGAACAAGTTATCAGAAGTCAACCTGGTAGATTAGTATCCAAGATGGAGTTATTTTAGCTTTACACTGTGCCTCTGAATTTCTTTGATGAGGGGATGGGGTGGCCCCACACCTCTTCCGGGTTGTACATACCCAAGTGCCAGGCAATTCCTGCAGCTGCTCAGAGGCTCAGGGGCAGGAAGTGAGAAGTTCCCCAGAGGAAAAGGCAACATTCAGCCCCTACTTGAAACTGGTTGCCACAGCAGTGACTGTAGTTACGAAGGCCAAGAGGATTTGAAGTGGCACAAAGGAGGTCTCAAACACTGTTCTTATAAATGACCTGTGTGTCCAAAAGTGATAAAGTTGCTACTCACTAGGGCATGGATAATCCCAGCACTTTGGGAGACCAAAGTGCATAGATCTCTTGAGTCCAGTGAGACCAGCCTAAGCAACATGGTATCTCTACAAAAGTGTTTTTTTTTTTTTTAAATTAGCCTTATGGTCCACAAAGCTATATACCAGTTCTCTTACTAATTTACCCTCCATTTCCTAATAGGTAAAGGAAATGTATTGAACACAAGGACACTTAGAAGTTAATGGCCTTTCTGGACTTCTCTGGAATGAAATCTCATTATTATTGTCCATACTTTAAGCCACTAAATAGCTACTATCATTTGGTAGGCAGCAAAAAGGAATATGAAAAGTGACTAAAGATTAAGAAACCAGTTAACAAGAGAGAAGCTAAAGCAGTGTTGATATAACTGGATTTGGGGCCACTTGCATCAAAATCACTCGGGACCCTTGTTAAAAATCCAGGTTTCTGGCCCGTTTATCAGTCTCTGGGAAAGGGCTCATCTGCCACCACGTGATTCTCAAAAAGTCTAACGTTTGAGAACCACTGGTAGAGATAAACTGAGAAAATGCAGAAGGCAGACAGGGAAGGAAGGAAGCCGAAAAGAATGGAAGGGAAATAAAAGGGTGGCTGAGGAAAAGAAGGATGCAGTACATACTACAGTACTGCTTTTTCTTTACATCTCTATGTAACAAAAGTCAAGGGTATGACAAAAGCTTATTAACCTAATTCTAGAAAAGTTAGGACACTGGAAAAATACCTACCTCAAACTTCACATCATTATTTGAAAATACTTAAGACATATACCCTCAGAGCAGTAGTATAAAGCAACATCCCCTATCAGATTACAGCATCAACACCAAATTATAAATGTACTAGCCTCATTCCTGGGTCTATTTTGTGTGTCTCCTAACGTGATTTTCTCATTTTACTTTCTCAACTACTTGTTATCCTGTTGTTTTTCATATGTTGCCATGAACCACTTTATATCCTTTTTGTAAAAAAGGTTTATTTGGAATCAATCACTGGCATCCAAATAAAGAAAATTAAAACTTCTTGGAGAATTCCAAACTCAACTTTAATATAAGATGAACAAATGAACAGAAATAATGGTTGTAACCAGGCCCTGGTAATACAAGCAGTGGCAACGCTTGATGATCAATTCCAATATATAAACAAGACAGCACAATTGTCAGGAGCTACAAACTTTAGTATTAAGAGGCAGAGCTATCTACAATGCAGCTAATAAGGCCAAAGTGACCTTTCAGGTGTTTCCTTGCTACTCCTCATCCTCCCTCATCTACCTCAAGGCACAATGGTTTTTGCAAATGGTTATTAAACTGTCTCAGAGAGACTTACTAGCCTCACTCAAGGAATTACATCTGGTTCTCAAAGGCAGGCTGTGGCAGACTTTTCATCTTAACACCTGGCATGTGGTTGAAGCCAAAAAGAAATACTTGTTGATGAATGGCACAGTGCTACTTTAAATGTAAATCTAACTGAAATGGAATTAATTCCTCTGCAATGCTGCTCTAAAGCAGCTCCTCTGTGAGTCCAGGTGGTACTTCCAGGTCTCAGCAGTTCCAATTAAAACAGAATACTGAACTAGCCTTGTTAATCACTTATTAAGTCTCATGTACGAACATCTAAACTCCCATTAAAGCAAAAATATCATCAATGTCATCTGTCTCCTTAATAGTTCCTGATGTACTGTTTTTATTTCTTTGCATCACCGTGTACGAATAAGTTTCATTTTCATGGATACCTCTAAGATTTTCATGAATCATTTTCCCCTTAGTTTGCATGACAGTCATTGAAACTCCACTACTCAAGAATTGCTTACTCTTAGGGTAGAGATCAGTTCTATACACAGTACAGTGTGCGAGTCTCCACTTAGCACCAGTATCTGCAGCAACATTCTGAGTCCCTTGAGAGAACTGAATTTCCCTTAAAAGAGTCGACTGCAGCTTTCTTTGTGGTTTCCTTTGTCTCCGTAAAAATTTATTCTGTGATCTTCTCTGTCTCAGATGATGCTTTGAAGTTTTAATACCTGAGCCACGAAGAAGGCAGTTGCAAATAGACGTTTTTATGCAGTCTAGTTTCTTCGGCAAACTTTAAAGGACAGAGAGGGGAAAAATCTGGGCTTAAGATGCAGAAAAACATTCTCAAGCACTTTTACCAACTGAGAAGAAAAATACACAACTTATCTACAAATCCAGTGCCTGTGTACAATCCCAGAACCACATCAAAAAATATTAAGAGTTTCACCCCAAAGCTGTTTTTCTTCAGAACACAAATGTCCTCTGATTGAAATGTAGATTTGTCCCCATTTTGCTTTCAAACTCTCACAAGTACAGCTGCCTGGCAATCAGCTGAATGCTGAGATACCTCCATACTTTAGTGTCATAGCTTTTCACTCATAACTGCTAATCTGTTCATAATGTAATGAGTGGGTATGATGAAACATAACAAATGAAAAAATCTGACAGTATATATTTATCCGAATCTGGAGAATCAACTTCATGCTGTGGCAGAAAATGAACAAGGAAAAAGGAATAAAGGCTAAGAGTTTATAAAACAATGTGAAGACAGGGCTTCTGGCCCAGACAAACTAACAGCCGTACCCTTACTATGATTCTGCAAGTTTGGAAATTCAGAAGTACAACAGCTGATCATTTTAGATGTTTTGCTTCCACACAGGGTACACTGCCACAAGGTTTATCCATGCCTTGCTCAATTGTTTCACTATTTGCCATAGATTTTAAAAGATGAGCATGGATAGAAAACTTTGAGGAAGCCCATTATAATAAAGTAAATCATAATCTCTGCTTCCAAACCATTTTCTTTTCTTTTTTTTTTTTTTGAGACAGAGTTTCGCTCTTGTTACCCAGGCTGGAGTGCAATGGCGCGATCTCGGCTCACCGCAACCTCCACCTCCTGGGCTCAGGCAATTCCCCTGCCTCAGCCTCCTGAGTAGCTGGGATTACAGGCACGTGCCACCATGCCCAGCTAATTTTTTGTATCTTTAGTAGAGACAGGGTTTCACCATGTTGACCAGGATGGTCTCGATCTCTCGACCTCGTGATCCACCCGCCTCAGCCTCCCGAAGTGCTGGGATTACAGGCTTGAGCCACCACGCCCGGCTAACCATTTTCTTATCTTACTATAAGCAGTGACTTTTAAGTGGCGAGCAGGTGGGTGTACTTCCAAGTTGAAAGGAAAACAGAGGGCCTGAATTGAGTTCCACATCTAACCCCTTGAGCAAAATCCTCCATTTACCCATCTATGAAATGGGAAACATACTGTGTACCCCACAATGTTATGGACATTCAATAAATTAGAAAGTTTCCTATGAATATTTGAATGAAACAGCAAAACACTGCCATATGAAGGAGCACTGTATCTGGGGGAGTACTGAATAATAGTTTAAGCAATAAACACCAGTTTGCTACCCTTCTCATTAACTTTTAGTTGTTACCTCTGCCTCATCCACCCTTGATTTTAAACCCATTCTTTGTTTTGTTTTGTTTTTTTGAGGTGGAGTCTCACTGTCACCCAGGCTGAAGTGAGTGGTGCAACCTCGGCTCACTACAACCTCTGCCTCCCGGGTTCAAGCGTTCTCCTGTCTCAGCCTCCTGAGTAGCTGGGATTACAGGCATGCACCACCACACCTGGCTAATTTTTGTATTTTCAGTAGAGACGGGGTTTCACCATGTTGGTCAGACTGGTCTTGAACTTCTGATCTTATGATCCACTCACCTCAGCCTCCCAAAGTGCTGGAATTACAGGTGTGAGCCACCACACTCGATCTTTAAACCCAATTTTAAACAGAATGCCTCTCTACATCTCAGACTGCATTTTCAGCCATAGAACAGATCACTTTTAGGTTATTACAGAGCTGTAGGGGGCCCACCTCAATGTAAAAACTCCTCAAGCACTTTATCCCTTAGGAATATTCAACCACTTTTCCCATAGCTCCTAATCAAAATGTGTTACAAAACCCACTGTATACTATTTTTTTTTCTAAAACAGGACTATCTTTTCTGTAAATTAAAAAAAAAATTAACACATTTTCAATAGCTGGTTCATCCCAAGAATGAATTTTGAAGCCCTGAACACCTGTTAGCTAATAGCCATAGCTATGGATAACTATGGATAATAAACTATGGGGTATGCACAGGCTATTTCTTAAAGAAAACATTAAAAAACAGGTCAGAATAATTGCCTCTGTGAAGGTGGAATAGGCTCTTAATACCTATTTGTGTCTGAAATCATTAAGCCCTGAAGTGTCTAATGTCTAACTTCTAACTTCACGTAATGCTTGATGCAATACTGGTTCACAAGCAAAGATAAGCACCCTTAAACAGTTCTGAATATAAAAATCACAGAAAAGAAATCAATATATAGAGTGTCCAGCCACTACAAACAGCAAACCTGACCATGACCCCAGAAGTCTGGTATGGGCCTCATAGGAGGTAGGCACCTTCTGCTTCTGCTCTCATACCCTGATCCCATTGCACTAAAGCTGTCTGCAGAAAAGCTGCCTTTGCCCACAAGACCCTGAGCTCCCTGAAGACCAACTCCTGTCTTTATGCAGTGTATCTTCAGGCTCAGCACACCAGATACTCTTAATGCTTCCTGCATGAGCGAAGAGCATAAATGACTGAAGTCCAATTAACCTGCTTATCTTCTTCCTCCAATGATATATATAGCTTTGCTCTTACAACAAAAGCAACAAATGCAATTGCAGTTTGAGTAAATCCCAATTTAGCCCCGCTGTGGCTGCTGGACATCACATTTAAAGAAAAATGACCTGAATATATGCTTTTACTCATAACAACAGGAAAAGTAAAGAAACATAAATTTTGTTATACACCTACCTAGTACCTTGAGCTTCCAGATGTTTAAGCCGGTTGCTTTTAAGAAGTTTGTTACCCAGAAAAATGGCCTGAGCCTTGAGTTTTTTGCTCCTGCACCATACAACTGCCATTTGGATTTCTTCAGAAAGTTGTGTGAAAGACTCAGCCTCTTGGAATCTTTGCACAAAACTTCTGGCTTGAGAAGTTGATATCACTTTCTGAGAAGAATGCTTGGTTGTCTTTAGTTTAAAATCAAAGCTGGTCTGAAATGTGAAAAGATGAGAAAAATATGACGTGTTACTGATTTGTAATTATATGACAACAGGGAAAGCTAGCTCACAATCAAAATTTAAAAATTAGAATGATCAGTCCTTAAATGCCTGAAGTGATGGATACACCAATCGCCCTGTGATTATTATGCACTATATGTCTGTAACAAAATATCTTATGTACCCCATAAATACATATACCTGCTAGGTAGCCACAAAAATTTTAAAAAATGAATTATCAATCTTTAAGGAAATTTTTTTTGCTAACTAAGCTTTCCTCATGTCTTTAAACCCTGAATTTTTCTCCACTGCTCCAAATACAAGTTGTTTTGTTCCCCCTGTGTACCAGGACAGGTTCCATCTGCAGCTGCATTAGATGGAAACAGGAAAGTTAACATAAATATTCTAACACACATATCTCACACAACAATAAAACCTCACATGATTAAATGCTGGCAAAAGCCTAACTGCAGGGGGTTGGGGGTTGGGGTCACTGAAAAGCCCTTCTCTACATCACTAGACTATCACAACTTGTTTTTCACTTATTTCCATATCCTGAGCAAACATCTTCATTGTTAGAAATGTTTCTGAAAACAGGAAAGACATGGGGCCTTGCAAAGTGCCCAGCAGAGTAGGCCCATTAATCAGCTAATGACTGCTGAACATCTGTTAAAAATGCTCAACTGAGCAACACTTCCAGTTCTACTTCAACCATCTTGACAAAGCACCTTTGCTTCTTCAACCCCTTCTTTCTATATCAAGTCACATTTGGATTTTCTTTTTCTTTTCTGAAAACACATTTACTGTTTCTTTTTCTTTTCTTTTTTTTTTTTTTTGAGATGGAGTTTCGCTCTTGTTACCCAGGTTGGAGTGCAATGGCACCATCTCGGCTCACTGCAAGCTCTACCTCCTGGGTTCAAGCAATTCTCCTGCCTCAGCCTCCCGAGTAGCTGGGACTACATGCGTGCGCCACCATGCCCGGCTAATTTTTCTATTTTTAGTAGAGACGGGGTTTCACCATGTTGACCAGGATGGTCTCGATCTCTTGACCTCGTGATCCACCCGCCTCGGCCTCCTAAAGTGCTGGGATTATAGGCGTGAGCCACCATGCCTGGCCACGTTTACTGTTTTTTAATGAAAATATGTACCTATAACATGATGTGCTCTATTTTTCTGCTTACCTTCTTCCAAATTTCTTACACTTAAAAGGAACTTTAAAAAGAAGTAGAAAATATAAAAGTAACAATCCATGTCAATAGTTTATGTTTACAGAAGTAGTCTGCTTTAAATGCAAGCTAAGCATGTTAGTGCTATTTGCGAAAAATATATTAGCAATTAGTCTTGAATAAGAGGGATGCTGACCCACCAGCTTCAAAACCAGCTCATCTACAAACAGGTGCATGGGCTGCAGAAGTTTGAAGGCTCACAAAGCACCATAGTTCTTGAGACACAGTTGAAAAACTATTCTGGGGACTGGTGAATGGTAACGAAGAGACTACGAAACCATACTGCCTTTATTCAAATCGCAGCCCTGCCATTTATTCACTATGTGGCCTGGCCAACTTTCTTGGCCTTTCTTATGCCTCAATTTCCTCATCTGAAATATGAAAACAGTAATAAGAGTGCCCACCTTACAGAGCTTTTGTGCTATTAATAATTATATGACTTCATGTATATAAAGCACTTAGAACAGTGCCTGGCACAGAAAGTATTATTCCTCACTCTGAATTAATGAATTGGAATGGAAGATGGAGTCCTTAAAGTTCAAGAAAGTACGCTTAAGAATTCTTGAAGTAAACTAACCCATGAAGAATATCAGAAGTAAAGACATTTTGCAAAGACGGGGTTAAAAAAAAAAAAGTCAAGTTACTGAGTAAAATACTAATGCTGATATACTTATATGCTGTTAGGTTCAGAACAAACAGAATTTACAGACATTAATAAATCATGTTAAAACTTGAATCTCAACAACAGTAAAGGAATAGCTTCATGACAAATGATGAGGATGATGAGACCAAAATGGTGACAGTAGCTAATAACATCTAACTGCAATTAAATGCTTGGCACACTCCAGACTCCTGAAGACTTTACCTGCATTAAACTGGCACAACCCTAGAAGGCACATATTACTGTTACAAAACAGAGATTCTAAGAGATCAGGAAACTTACAGAAGGTCACACAGCTAGTACCAAAGCCAGGATTCAAACCATCTGTCTGACTGCAAAGCCTGTACTCTTAACCTGCAGCACAATCCATACTTAATGATAGATCTTGCAGTTACGTTAACATTCTACAGAAACTCCTACTAAAACATTTTTAAAGGTACTCTATTAACTGAATTAACTGGATGTATTAAAAATCCCCTGCCCCTATTCATTCAGAAGCAAACACTGACAATAAGAAGGCATTAAGCTTAGAGCTGGGGATAAAATGAGAAAATTCAATCTCTGCCCTTGGTAAGAAGCATCCTCTACAAATTAGCAGAAATCATAAGCTAAATTTAATGAAGCCAGACAAACCTGAGTAGCTTTGTGTTTCAACTGGTTGCAGAAAGCCCTCACATCAAATTCTGATGACTTTTCTGTGGAGGTGGAAAAATTGTAGATAAAAAAACTTAGGCACACTATTTTCAAATCTACAACAAATAATTAAGTGCATGACATTTCTTGCTAAATTACTACATACGAAATAAAGCAAGCAAAAAAACTAGGAAGCTACTACAGAAATAAAAAAACATCTTTAAGTACTCAAGCTTAGAAGGCATAGGTATTACAATACCTCTCTAAAGATAATCAATGTGGGTCAAAATTAAGATGTGAGATATTGAATTCCTTTCCATGCATTGCAGGACTATACTTTGAACAGGTTTCTTTCTATTTGCTTTTTGTTTTACTAGAGTATGTGCTGTATCAAAGCAAATTACCTTTGAAAACTTTCTTATTCTTTACTGGCTGTCCAAGATCCTCATTATTCTGTGTATTTATCTTAATTTGTTCATCATTTTTGGAAATTCCAAGTAAGATTTCTTCAATGGCCTTTGGTGACTGCTCACTTATTAAAAACAGCTTATTTAGCCATTTACTTATTCCTCTAGTTGCAAAAGCTGTAGGTATTTCTTTCTCAAAGACTTCAAAAAATGGCTCTCCTAAAAATTCAGTGATATCAGAAGGAAAGGTAAAATCTTTGAAGTAAGGCATTGGTTGAATCCTAGACACCTCTTGAAGCAATCCAAACAAAGTCTCGTAGAACAAAATCAACCTTTTAAAAACACCTTTATAGAGAACCCTAGAGAAAGAAACAGAAGCTAATTAGCCAGTAATTACAATTTGCAGATCACATAAAAAACTTGCAAGAGTAAAAGCTGAAAATAAATGGCTATCAAGGTCTTCCAGTATGTATAAAAAACTCTATAGTGCACACTTGCAACAGCCAGATTAGTCCAACCCAACAAAAAAATCCCAAGTATAAAATGTTACTCAAGGCTTGGCACAGTGGCTCACACCTGTAATCCTAGCACTATGGGAGGCCAAGGTGGGCAGATCACGAGGTCAGGAGATCAAGACCATACTGGCCAACATGATGAAACTCAGTCTCTACTAAAATGCAAAAAAAAAAAAAAAAAAAAAAAATTAGCCAGGCGTGGTGGTGCACGCCTGTAGTCCCAGCTACTGGGGAGGCTGAAGCAGGAGACACCTGAACCCAGGAGGTGGAGGCTGCAGTGAGCCAAGATCTCACCACTGCACTCCAGCCTGGTGACAGAGCAAGATTCCAGCTCAAAAACAAAAAAAAACATTACTCAAAAAACCATACGACAGTCCACCAGGAAAAATATATTTATATTCAAAAACAAAGTACTACATGGAGAAATGTACAAAAGGATGCATATCAAAGACTTAAGTGTGGTTTTATCTAGATGAGATTTTAGGCAAACTTCAGGTTCTTTACATTTTTCTTTAATCTCTTAAAATAGGCATGTATTATTGTAATCAGCAAAAATTAAAGCTATTTTCATTACAGAAAAGTTTCGCAGGTTTAGCATTTTAAAATAATATGATTTGTGATCAAACACTGTTATCTCTGATTAAGAATCAGGATAAAAAACAAAACAATAGGAAATAGTACCTGAGATATCCAGGTTAAGACATCAAAACAAGGTTTTCAATCTCTAAGCACAGAAAAACTTTTTTGCCCCCTCCCAGTGTTTTCTTACATTCATATTAGAGCTAATAATCTTAATTGCTTGAAATGGCCCAAAACAGGCCTTCTTATGAATACAGACAAATTCTAATTATCCATCAGATCAGTTTCACAATTCGTACTGAGAGACATGTAAAAGAACATCTCTTTAGTTTGCAAGTATTATCAGCGTACATTAACTCAATATGCTTAGAAAAGAAGTGGTGTTTCAGGTAGCACATAAGAAGGTCAAAAATTGCATTTATCATTGCCATTACAAATTAGAAACCAAGTGACAGAAGGAATCAAGTGACATAGCCAGCCCAGGAATAGCATCATTTTAAATGGCCTGTTGTAGTGTGACTACGGCCGACAATTATTTATTACTGCAATTCCCAGTCCCAGACAATAATTTTTTTTAATGCTCAATACAAGTCCACTGATGTTTCACTACAACCTACCATGACCTAGATTTCAATGTCACACCAGTCACTCCCAATTTTTTTAGTTGCTCAATGTTGGACTGATCTTGCAGATTGAGATACCAAGCCTACTCCTTTGACATAACCATCAGCACTCGGCTTCCCATCTAACCCCAAAAAACTCTGATCAAATCAAAAAAGAGATACCTGCACCTTCCATAACCCCATAGGAAAGTAAGTTTGAATACCAATAAAAAAACTAGGCTGAAAGGAAATGATAAAGAAATGAAGGATATCAGAGGTATGTACATACCATAACCTGCTCACCAGCCCTACTATCACAAGGTTTAAAATAATGAACTCTTGCAAACGTAGATGTTTCACAGTCCAGCTGGAAAATCAATTTAAGGTGGGAAAACAAAACCAAAGTTAATTTGGATTTTGTTAAGTTTGGAAGTAAAGAGAATTTTCTTTTTTTCTTGAGAAGGAGTTTTTGCTCTTGTTACCCAGACTGGAGTGCAATGGCACAGTCTCGGCTCACCGCAACCTCCGCCTCCTGGGTTCAGGCAATTCTCCTGCCTCAGCCTCCTAAGTAGCTGGGATTACAGGCACACGCCACCATGCCCAGCTGATTTTTTGTATTTTTTTTTATTAAAGACGGGGTTTCACCATGTTGACCAGGATGGTCTCAATCTCTCGACCTCGTGATCCAACCGCCTCGGCCTCCCAAAGTGCTGGGATTACAGGCTTGAGCCACCGCGCCCGGCCAAGAGAATTTTCTTAAAGGTAAGCCTTAAAGCATGTTCTATTGAAGAATTTTAAACTTTAAAATATGGTAATAAACACTCTGCTAGTGCTCCCATTATTAAATTTAATTCTTAAAGTTTAGTTTCTAAGATTAAGAATTTCTAGCTATCAATGCTTTTAGATAATACATGCTGAAGAGTGACAGGCAGTCTCTGGCAATGGCCACATCAGGCAATTCCTGAGAAAAGGAGGCCAAGAAGCAAAAGTTTAAAAATTCCTACAGGTTATAACTCCTATCAAGTGTTAGCTTTCAAACAAAACTACTGTTAAATATATCCAAACAATTTCAATTCAAAAGAAGGTATATTTTAAGAGATTCAAGGATACAGAAATGTTTTGCAGCAGCAGTCCAACAAGCGAAGCAACAACTTGCAGGCTCCCAAAACCTTCATGAGCACCACTTCCATCACTGGCTGACCGGGGATGGCACTGGTATTTACAGGCTGATTTTTACTTGACAAAAAAAAAAAAAAAAAAAAAAGAAAAAGTACGTTACTTTCATTAAACCAAAAAAAAAGGTTTATTTTACATTTACCACTTTATTATAAAGGATATGACAAAAGATTCAAATAAAGAGATGCATAAGGCAAGGTATGGCAGAAGGGGCATAGAGCTTCCATGCCCTCACTGGGTTACCCTTCACGTACATGTTCAGCTATCTGCAAGCTCCCATTACATTTTAAAATATAAAACATTTCTATAGCAGTTTTCAAGTGAAGACTTGCTTTAAGGTCAATTTGAAGTAGTTATATGCAGTAACAGCCCACTGATGTTTTAATACAATCTACCATGACCCAAAGTTCACACTCGTCACTCCCCATACACCAATGTCAGAAGATTACCACGAACACCAGGTACTCCATGTTAAAATTTATACAGCTGAGGTATAATGATTATATTCCAACACCAAGCATAGAGAAATCAAAGGGAGATCACAAGACATTGAGTTCCCACCCTACCACATCACAAAACAACTGGACCACTTACCTGGGAAAAAACAACTCAAACAGTTCTTGAATTGAACCTGCCAAATTCATGTTTTTCAAACGTTTTAGACATTGCTCAACCTGAAAGAAGAAGAGCAGCTCAAATTCATGTGTATGTAATGCAGACATGGTCACTGATTATGACCAGGAAAGAGAAGAGTTCTAGATTTTCAAAGTATGGAAATATGCTAAATACCACAGACTACCTTATTTTTTTTTCAGGTTAGAGAAATCCAAAGTGCAGGCAATTGTTTCTGGTTACAATTTTGGAATTTATCCAGCCAAACACATTTTTTAGATCAGGTGATTCCTAAGAAATTAGCATATGCCACAATGACCCTGATGTTACAAAAGGGACCAAAATGAGTATAGATTATTCTCAAGATTATAATTTTGCTGAGGCAACATGATTTTTAATAGTGAAACTACTCGGCCGGGCGCGGTGGCTCAAGCCTGTAATCCCAGCACTTTGGGAGGCCGAGGCGGGTGGATCACGAGGTCGAGAGATCGAGACCATCCTGGTCAACATGGTGAAACCCCGTCTCTACTAAAAATACAAAATATTAGCTGGGCATGGTGGCATGTGCCTGTAATCCCAGCTACTCAGAAGGCTGAGGCAGGAGAATTGCTTGAACCCAGGAGGCGGAGGTTGCGGTGAGACGAGATCGTGCCATTGCACTCCAGCCTGGGTAACAAGAGCGAAACTCCGTCTCAAAAAAAAAAAAAAAAAAAAAAAAAATAGTGAAACTACTCAAACAAGATAGCAAATTATTAACTACTAAATTTCAACAGTCTATAAAGTACCACAGAGATGAGGAAAATGATTGGCTTTAAACACTGAACAAATATATTCCTTGAGTGTATGAAGCTTGTTCTCATGTTCCTCTGCATCTTTCCTCGTCCTCACTTCTCTTGAGTTTTTCCCTTTTGTTTCCTTTTGAACATAGTTCACTTACTGTATTTTCCAAGTGCTTTACCATCTTGCTTTGTCAATACCTCCCTCAAAGGATAGTGTCCAGACTTGAAAACTGAAGATAGGAGCTGACCCTAAAGAATTTAAGGACTGTTCCCTTCATTGTTCTGAAAACCGCTGCTAAAACAGAATCCATAACCTTGGTTCAATTTCTAGAAGTATATTTGCAGCTCTAGCAAGATACTCTAGTTGTCATTGCCCACCCACATTTTTATATCTGTCTAGGTCCGGTCTCATGCTGTCCTTTGTGTTGTATTCCTGAGGACTACAGAATTCCTGCAGCATTTTGTACAAGGCATGGCTCTTACCTTTTTTTAAAAAAAATTTTTAATGCTATTGAGCGCCTAGTGAACACTGTTCTAAGAACTGGATCACAGTGGCAAACAAAAGGGACAAACTATATTGCCCTTGTGGAGCTTACGTTATAGCTGGGAGAAAAAGGCAGTCAATCAATGGTAGGTAGTGTTAGGAGTTATGGAGAAAAGTAAAGCAAAGAGGGAGTGCTGAGGGAATTGCAATTTTAAATAGGGTCTGTTTTTTATTTTAGCATTTAGTTAATATTTTACATGTCTTCCTATTTTTACTACTAGATTTTTAGCAACTAGAGATAGAGAAGTTTCTAATACCATTTTATCTCCCAGCATGCCCTACATATACTCCACAAAACAGGAATCAAGACTGTTTTCTGTGTTTCATTTAGGGGACTGTTTACTTACATGAAAGTTCTCTGTAAACCGCGAAATGTTAAGCAGTTATAAGACAGTAGTAGAAGTAATAGCAGCTGCAGCAGCAACATAAGCATAAAACATGTTTCCCACCTAAGGGCTCACATAGAATATAAAATATATACACAAATAACTTCACCACAACACAGACTGTATTAAATGCTTCAAGTACAAAGAGGAGGCCCAAATAGCCAAGAATTAAAAAAAAAAAAAGAATTCAACTTCAGTAATAACCAGAAAAATACAACTTAAAATGAGATTACTATAACATAGACTATCACTGCCAGGAAGGCTTAAAATGCGACTTAATAGGAAGGCCTTTAACAGGCAGACATGGAGAGGCTGGGCATTCTAAACATACAGGACAAGGTGAGCAGACTCAGAAGGAGAACAAACAGTGAGCATGTAGGTACGTTAAGAGTTCAGGTTAGCTGGAATAAACACATCTGAACGTGAGACAGAAGCCTGAGCTAATAATAAGACTGAAGAAGCCAGATCACAGATCTTGTAAGCCAAGCTAAAAAGTTTGGTCTTTACTCAGGACACAATGGAGAACCACTAAAAATCAAAGTTGTGTTTTCAGATGATTAACCTGGTTTTCATATTTAGAATATGCCAGAGCTTAGGAAAAGCTGAAGGAGGAAACATCAGTTATGATAGTAAGATAACTAAAAGTTGACAAGGTCTAAGAAAGGAAAATAGCAGCCAGAACTGAAGAGGTGACCAAATGCAGAGGAAGTTTTGCCTTATGGACTGCCTGGATGGGAGGGCTACATAAAAGAGACGAGAGAACACCTAATTTTTATGACTAGGTGATTATTTACAACTAGAAACCAGAAGCAGAAATACATTCATTTTGAGGTCAGCAAGCTTGCTTTTGGATTAAAAAGACTCCAAAAAAAATAAAAGCCAACATAGAATAGAAAATTTAGGGAAGGACCATGATCCCGTATCTTTCTTTGATAAAATCTTCATCCTTTTTACTTTAAGTACTAGGGGTAGAAAACTAACGAGAAAGCACACATCTGTAAGATTAGAGACTACATCTTTTTCATTCCTGTATACACAGCACTACACAGAGGGCCTGGTACACAGAAAGCTCAAAAACACTTGCAAGGTGGCCCTGTCACACAATGGAGAGCCCTCTGACCTTCACAGGCGTCCCCAAACTACAGCCCTCGGGCCGCATGCGGCCCCCTGAGGCCATTTATCCAGCCCCACCCGCCGCACTTCAGGAAGGGGCATCTCTTTCATTGGTGGTCAGTGAGAGGAGCACAGTATGTGGCGGCTCTCCAACGGTCTGAGGGACAGTGAACTGGCCCCTGCGTAAAAAGTTTGGGGACGCCTGAGCTAGAGGGCCCAATTTTGTCTTAAATTCCAGACGTTACATGAAACCGGTATATACCACAACTTGCTATATACCCATTTACTCTAACATGCCACCAATTAGATTATGTACCCCATAATAAGTAAACAGATTTGTTCTTTTTATAATTTTAGCATTTTGATTATGCTCAAGGAACTGCTTCTTAATGTCCAACACTTTGTATTGCTCAAATCCTTTCTCTTTGAGCTCAAATCCTTTTATATACTATCTGTAACAAAGGCACTGTTACAGATAGTATATAATGAAGACAACGTTTAGGTACCCATTAGAAACAAGACTGGGAAAGAATTAACCTAAACATACTTCTTTTCTAAAAAATTACTTTTTGAAATGCTTTCAGGAAAAAAAAAAAAAAAAAAAAAGCCCCATGTAACTATGGGCTATAGACCTATATATCACAAATAATTTACTGAGAGTCCCATAAATAGCAAAATAGTAAGTGGCAGTGTGATCTACATTTTCAAGTGAACAGGTTGGGTCTCAACTACAGGGCTTCCTCACCTGTTTGAGGGCCAAATGGGATTTGTGGCGGCCCATTCTGTTGTGATTGCTGTAAAGGACTGCACATAACACATCTGTTTCTGCATCTAAGGCTCGGCTCTTCAGCGATACTGTGACGAGATGGCATTCTTTAATCACATTTGCAATCCAAAGGTCTGAAGCAGAGACATTTAATAAGATTTAGTATGTATTTCTACATTAAGTATATTATATTAAAAACATACTGAAAGAAGCATCTTTCCTTATTTGTTTTAAAGGAATCAAAAACTAATGTAATCAGTCTCAACTGTAAGAACACAAGGATTCTAAGCTTAAGAAAAGCTGGAAAATGGTAACAGATGATATAAAGTCCAGGAAATCATTAAGATAACATCTGGTAAATAAGAATCTCTATCTTCACATTGCATTTTATCATGGTTTAATAATCTTTCATATGAATACTGTGCTGTCAGTTATTTGGTGTACACTTACACCCCCACCTTGAAGGTGGGGCACAAGTCACAACATAGGTAATACTTCTCTAACTCCCCATGTTGCTATGCCTGAAAGCAAGACAGAATGGATAAAATCAGTCTTCAAAATCAAGGGTTCTGTGTTTGGGTATCACTGTAAGGGAGACACAAACATATTCGGAAAAGAAAAAGCACCATAATAACTGGAAATCTTATTTGATGAATGATTGACTGAACACCAGGTGCTCATCAGCAGAGGCTACCTCGTCTGAAAATCTGTAGCAGTCCATAAAGTCGAAGATGTAGTTGATGTGCTATTTATGGCTCTAAGGTTAGCACTAGCATTCTAGGGGGAAGTAAAGGCTGGTTGCTACCTAACAACAATTTTCTTCCTGTCCCAACAACAATCTGAAGGCAGAATGGGCTGCCTCGGGGATGGGTAGTGAGTTGGTGATTTCCCATGCCTGATAGGAATTGTTAAAGAATAGAGAAAAAGGGACGATTAATCTGTAAAGTGTGTAGGAAGGACAGATGGGATAATCTGATAAATGGGATAATGTGTAAAGTGTGTAGGATGGATAGATGGGAAAGAGGATGTGATGATCTAAGTCAAGCTTGTCCAACCCGCCTTACTTTGTTGTTGTTCTATTCTGTTTAGTTTTGGGCTTTTTTGCAGCCAGAAGCCCTGGTTTTTAGTTTGTCTCTAGTGAAAAGAGGGATGAGGAAGGGGCTTTACTGGCCCAACCAGAAACAAACCAAGAACTCATGACTATTCTCTCCCTTTGGGCCCCAGATCTAAGCAGTTAACATTCATAATAGCTACCATTTGAGTGCCCATTTACCATGCCAGGTAGTGTTCCAAATGTTTTCTTCATAATATCAACTCTTTCGTCCCCTACAACAGCCCTATGAGGAAGGTATTTTTATCTCCATTTGAAAGCGAGATTAATGAGGCACAGAAAGGTTCAATAATTCCCTCAAACTCCAGCAAAGGGTAGAGCTAGTATGCGAACCTACTATGTGCTATATACCCTAACAATCCTAAATTACATCATTAGGTATTCCCAACGCCCCAGTGAGGGGTGGTAGGACGACTAGCTCCATTTTACAGATAAGTAGATAGTGTCCCGGTGCTTAGGTGACGTCGACCGCTCCCCGGGGGCAGGGGGCAGGAAAAGGACTGAAAGGGGAAATGGACGGAAGGGTAAACAAGGCTCCCCAAAGCCCGGGCGAGCAAGGGTTCCCAGGCAGCACTGTTCTCCGGCACTAGCTAAGTCCACCTCTCTCCGCCCCCTCTGCTCACGGCTGAACCTCAGTTCTTCACCTCTCCAAGCCCTGCATTAGCACAGTTGGTTCCATGAAGAATTGCAAAGCCAGAGGCCCTACGAGCTCCCCCAGCAAAGTGCAGGGACCGCGCGACCCCTGTGTGTCCCCCCGCGCCCCTTCCCAGCGTCTCCGGGACTTCCCGGGCCCGCCCCCACCCCCACCCCCACCCAACGTGTGCCGGCCCGGCCCGGCGGCCTCCTCCGAAAACATCCCCGGTCCTCGCCCGGCGCCTCACTCACGAAGGGTCACGCTTGGGTGCTGCACCATCACTGCGCTGAGGCTCCCCGCCTTAGGAATCCTCACGCGGTTCCACGGCTCGGAGCCCAGCAGCCTCTCAGCCATCTTGCGAGGCGGCAGACTTAGAAAAGGCGGAGCTACGCGAAAGCACGTAGAACGATCGGAGGAGGGGCGATGGGTCCGGGCGGGAAGGGAGCAGGGGGTGGGACTCGGGCGGGGCCAGGAGCTGGGCTGGGGGCGGCCTTCAGCGAGTAAACGCGTGGGGGCGCTGGAGGGCACCGAATGGTGGGACTGGGAAGGACGTAGGAGTAGACAGTCATCTGTGCATTGGTTACCAACATATGGCGGCATAGAATCAGGGGGGTGTGTTTTGGGGGAACAAAAGCCCCGTCCTGATACTAATCAATCAGAATCTCTGAGAATGGGGTGAAGAAAATGCATTTTATTTAAACTTCGCACAGGGCATTCGGAAGCACAACCAAGTTTGGAACTATTAAATACTTCTAAGCATTTTACGAATATGGAAAATGAGGCCCAGAATTAAGTTGGTGCTTTCACCCCCAATTCTGCCTCAGACATTAGAGGGAAAGGAAGAAATGAAATAAATAGATTTATGCAAGGCCTGGAATTTGTAGCAAAGAAGGAGTGATTTGCTTTGAGTAGTAAAGGAAGCCTCCTTTAATAATGTCCTGAACCACAGAAAAACCTACCATCACCTAAGAGAAACTTGGAAGTCACCTGTCATTCCCACTTTTGTCAGCCTCCAAGACAAGATCATATTCCAAGCTTTACTGATCCTTACCTCTATTATCTTTCTAATAATTCACTTATCCTCAGCCGTATTAATGTCCCTTTACTTAAGTGCTTAAGACTCCCACAGTGACGTATCAGAAAAACATTAGAGTGAGTTTTGGAAACAGACTGCCAAGGTTCCATGCATTTCTAGCTTTGCTGCTTACTAGCTTGTTGATCCCAGGAAAGTTACCACCTCCTCCAGACTTTAGTATCTCTGTGGGTAAAATGAAGATGATAATAATAGTATTAATCTCACAGATTTGTAAAATGCCAAGGCACTCCTGACACACAAACAATAAACATTTACCATAATTGATATTGTTGATGTTTTTACTACTATTTAATGCAAGCAGTCTTTATTGGAACACTTTCCAGGCTCCTTCTGTGCGCCTTTACACATAGTACTGACTCTGCCTGGGCCATCCTCCAAAACACAGTCTCCTTTCTTCAGCTCTGGGGTCATATTTTGAGTAATTCTTCCTCAACACCCCATCCTCACTCACTCCATGATTTGACATAGAGGCATCTTTAATGTATTACCACAGTGCCCCGTGTTGGCCTATGTATTAGTTTTCTATTGCTGCTGTAACAAATTACCACAAATTAATGGCTTGAAATAAGTAGAAGCTATTTTACATTTCTGAAGGTCAGAAATCCAAAATCAGTTTCATTGGACTGAAGTTGGCAGGGCTGGTTCCTTCTGGAGTCTCTAGGGAGTAATTGATTTCCATTCCTTTTCCAGCTTCTAGAGGCTGCCTTCATTCCTTGGCTCGTTTCACTATTCTCCACCTTCATAGTCAGCATGGTACCTTTCAGTCTCCTCTTCTTTTGCTCTCTCTCACCCTCCTGCCTGCCTCCCTCTTAAAAATACCCTTGTGATTACATTGAACCCACCAAGATAATCAGGGCAGTCACTCCATCTCAGAATCTTTGACTTAATCACATCTGTTTTAGAACTCCAAATGCAGGCGCATGTACCTGACAGGCAGCTGATGCCAAATACTGAGATACTGGTGCTTGGATATAGAGAAATATTTATTCGATTTGGCCAAAGTGAGAAGGCAAGAGAGCAAGAGCTCTCAAATCCACAGTAACAAAAAAGAAGCAGGGAGTTTTTATGCAGCTAGAGAGTAAGGGAGAGGGAGTTTCAAGGAATCCAGGGGAAAAGTCTGCATTTCTTCAGCTTCAGATAACACCTTGTGCAGCCATATGTACATGGCAGCTGGTTGCAGTGTCCTTCAAGGAACTCCTTCCTTCTCCAAACTATTCTTATGACCCTGAAGTTATGTCCTCCTGCTTGACAAAGAAACAATACATCGGCAGTTTATAATTACGTTATGGGAACAAGGAATACCGGGCAAAAAGTGAGTGGTTAACATGTACAAGCAAGCAAGGGCCTGATCAAAATTTTCTTTATTTCAGTCACAAAAGAAAAATGCTGGAGTGCTGAAGTCTCAAGTGCCCTGGTTATATATCTACAAAATTCCTTCCCAGTGCAAGGTAACATATTCACAGATTATGGAAATTAGGATGTGAACATCTTTGGGTGGGAGGTGGGGGGATTGTTATTCAGCCTACTACAGCCTTTCTCGTAGAATTTACCTCACTGTTTTGTATTTCTTTGTTTACTTTCATGTCTGTTTCTCCAATGGCATACGAACCTACTGAAGATAGAACTACTACCTCAATGCTTAGTTCAGAGCCTGGCATGTAGTAGGGCCTCAATAAATATTTACTGGCTATATATGAGGTTGTATGATGCTTGAATAGAGTCTTTTGAAGGATGTATAGGAACTCCCCGGGCAGTTAAGGGAAGAAGAATATTACTACAGAGAGGTTTTAAGCAGCATGGGTTTGAAGAATCACTAGTCCTGAGCTAGTACTGCTGGGACATGATTTGTGCTGAGGGATAGAGCTGGGAATACTGGTGTCAGGTCATGGGAAGAATTTGGATTTTTACCTAAAGACCAGTAGTTCAGAAACCTGGCTGATTATCAAAATTGCCTGGATAGCTTTTAAAAATAGAGATTTCAGCTGGGTGCGGTGGCTCACGCCTGAAATCCCAGCACTTTCGAAGGCCAAGGTGGGCGGATCATGAGGTCAGGGATTCGAGACCAGGTTGACCAGCATGGCAAAACCCTACCTCTACTAAAAATACAAAAATTAGCCAAGCATGGTGGCAGGTGCCTGTAATCCCAGCTGCTCAAGAGGCTGAGGCAGGAGAATCGCTTGAACCTGGGAAGCGGAGGCTGCAGTGAGCCAAGATGACGCCACTGCACTCCAGCCTGGACTACAAGAGTGAGACTCCATCTCAAAAAAATAAAATAAATAAATAGAGATTTTCAGGTCCCATTTTAGAAATTCTTATTAGTTCTGAGTAGGGCTGTTTTCAAAAGGTCTTTGTGATGGTAGTCTAGGTTGACGTGACCTCACTATAGGTGATAAAGGAGTCACTCGCTGAGTCTTCAGCAGGGCAATTTTTGTCACCTTGCCTCAGAAGAAGAGCACTCTAGAGAACAGATTTGGGAGGGAAGGGGTTGGAACAGACCTACCTGTTCTATTACAAAAGCTAAGGCCAGAAATGATAGAGGTCCAAACCGTCAAGCATTTCTACTGAATATAGACAGTATGACTTATTTAGATATCTAGCATGGATTGAGAGTATCCCTTATATGAAATGCTTGGGACCAAAATTGTTTCAAATTTCCCAGTTTTTTAGATTTTGGGATAATCGCAAATGCACATGAAATACCTTGGGTATGGGACCCAAGTATGAACATGAAATTTATTTATGTTTGATATACACCTTAAACACATGGCCCGAAGAAATTTTATGTAATATTTTTAACAATTTGGTACATGAAACAAAGTTTGTGTACATCTCAGTCACCCCTTTGGACAATCTGTGGTTGTTTGGTGTCAACATCATTCCTGACTCTGAATTTATATGCTACTGTTAGGCAATCATTATCTTCTGCTTATTCACACATATGTGCTTTGTAGTAAAAAAGAAAATATGATATACCATTAATACAGTGAAAAATAATATGTTCAGGGTAACTTGTATCATCATGTCAGTACTCAAAAAGTTTGGCATTTTGGAGCACTTCAGATTTTGGATTTTCAGATTAAGGATGCTCAACGTGTATTTACATATTTACATGTCTAAAATGATTATATGGTTTGGGTCTGTGTGCCTACCCAAATCTCATGTCGAATTGGAGTTCAGGGGTTCAGGGGTGCCCTCAGTTCCCCTGAGAGGACGTTCTCCAGGTTCTTGGTCTATCACTCCCCAAGAATGGGTGAGGAGACCATGACGCAGTGCGCTCTTAAAAGTAAATACCAGACTCAAAAGCGCGGAAAGTGATTTTATTTAGGTAGAGAAAGAAAAAGAAGGAGAGAGAAAGAAACAGCTAACTCTCACACTGAGTGAGAGAATCCAGAAAGATGGAATCCAGGAGAGGAAAGCAGCTTTCACTCTGAGTGGAAGGGAAGAGAGAGAGATGGAGTTTAGGAGGGGAAGACAGGCTTCCACGAGAGAGTGTGGAAGGGGACTGCAGAGGGGAAATCCAGGAGAGAGAAAGACAGCTTCCACAAAGGGAGTGTTTGTCAAAGGTGTAAGGCCGGTTGCCTCGCTGGGAGCCGATGGACAACACCCACCCCTCTCCATGTCTGATAACAGCATTATCATTCCGGAGGCCTTACTCAGCATCTGGCTTCTCCATGCGGGCTCCCCTCACCCACTTCTGCATTCTGCTTCCAGATCTATATCCAGCACTAGACTATGCACTCTCAGCACTAAACTATGCATTTGAACCCGCCAAAATTTTAAAAAATCCCGACATGCCTTATCCAATGGCAGCTTACTCCATATGTCCTTAGCCAGCCCACCCCTAATAAGTCCCACCTCCCCACCTATAGTGGCTCGCCCCGTCTGGGCCCTGTCTCCCTACAACTAATGAAATTGCCTATGCTTTGTTTCCCCAATATCCAATCAATCACCTCTAACCCCTATAAAACCCCCTCCCCCGAGAAGGTAAGCACGACTTCTCTGGCCCCATCCTGGACCATAGAACCTCGCCCAGGAGTTTAATAAATAGGATTTTCATTTTCGTATACTGGCCTCAGTTTCCTCATTTTGACTTTGCAATATACCTTACAAAAGGGGATCCAAACATGGAGTCTGAAGGGGTGTGGAAGAAGGGGACTTTTAACCTGGGAGGAACCCCCACCTTTCTAAGTCCCCTGGCCAAGGAAAGGAGTTCCTTAGAACTTCCGCTTGGGTGATTGACTCTTAGTTTCTTCCCGGCCCCTGAAATTTACACATAAACAGTTAAATTCCCAGATGGAGAGAGATGGGAGGTGGGCATGGCAGTGG